ACAACATTAGGAAACTATAGACCAATAACATGCTTATCAATGTTTAAATATGTTCTTNTCGTGGAAAGAGGTATTAGAGTCCATCAAACAGTCCAAGTCATACACGGTTAACACAGACAGTCATCAATGTCTTTCAGTTAAGAGATAATCCAAATAACATAGTCCATAATCATACAAACAGTCCGGTACACAAAAGTTTGCTAGCAGTTGCAAAACTTACAATATAGCTCACACTGATCACTATACGACACTTCTAACAGCCAGCTTCCAAACACTCAGATCAGATCAGCATCTAACAGTGATTCTGGCTCCCTCTTATGGCCAATTGAGGAAATAGCACACAATCACATTTACAGCATGATTTAAAGAAACAGCTACAGCATTGTTACATGATTTATATATTGCCAACCCAACCGTTAGATTATATTCCTAACACAATCTTTCCTTTTTCTAGCCAGAATTCATCATCTGGCCACCAATCTATGCTACAATATCGTCCTCATTCCTTCAGGAACAGTAATTCAATATCATTCCTCACTAGAAGCAAATTGCTTTGTATTTTGAAGAGTGTTATATGTAATTGATACACATTATCTGTAGTTATTTCTATTTTTAATGCTCTAAGGACAATTATGATATACTTCCCTAAAATATTTTTCTTAGAACCAAAGAGTATAGTCAAGTGGTACTATATTGATATATCTGTGTTTTGCCCAGTTTCTCATTTAACAACCAATACTGTGCAATTTCTATGGTGAAAAAATGTCATTAACTATTAAATTATCACTCAAACATAGACATTCTCTTAATTCTGAAAATGTATTAATATTCTCATGGTGCTTGAAAAAATAATTTGGGGAAATTATATTTGGCTTAAGATGTTTCTGAGTAACTCTTATCATATAAAAATGTAAGAATTGAAGGAACTTTGGCGCTTATCTAGTCCAATATCCTGCTCAGTGCAGAAAACCGTTAATGTAGCATTCCTGATAGATCCAGTCTCTGTTTAAATACTTCCAATGAAGAAGAGTCCATTACCTTCCAAGGCCTATTCAATTGTTGAATGGTTTTTGCCATTCAGATAGCCTTACTGGTATCCAACTGAAATCCATTTCCTTATAATTTAAACTCATCTGATGTGATCCAGTGACATCTCGCATTACAACCACATTGCTTAGTGATTGAAACTCTAGTACCAATTGTAGTTGTAAATTGAGGAAAATTGAGGAATATTGTACTGTCGTTGTCATCCTCCTCATCTTCATCATCATTTTAATTGTATCCTGCCTTTCTGCCTAAAGGGGATAGGTAATTGATGACTTGGGTTTTTTGCTACCCAAGTTCAGCAATAGTGGAATGTATTCTGTGAGTTAAAAAAAAAAGCAATTTTGATTCTTAACATGTTGCCCTTTTCTAAATGTTTGGACTCAGTCAGCTTCTGTGACAATTACACAGAACACTGCAAGCTGAATCATTCAAAAAACCACAATATACCACTTTTCTCAGTTCTGGAATAAGCCAAATATAATAATTGCTCATGAATTTTGTTTAGACTTCTAAAGCAAAATGCTGTATTTTCTACTTCTAGGTTATGACATATTACCAAGATTCAAAGTACCTTGCATATGGATGACAGAATGAGTCTTACTTAAAATAAGAGCTATGAAATAATGAAAAACCTGAAAGCATTCTTTGAAATCTTGAAATATGAATGTGTAAATTCATAAACAGTACATGGTGAATGAGACAAAAGTAGGGTAACAATATATAAACAGTGAGGTTTTTTTTATTTTACTAGCAACATAGAGAAAAATTATGTCTTGCAACAAATGTATTAATGTATTATAATAAACTACATCTTATTTCATTGTACCATGAAAAATTCCATATGTTCCACAGTTTACAGAATTGAAAGTAGAATATTCAATGTTCTAACGGCTAAGCATATTATGTGAATTTCTACTGATCTATAAACATTAATTTATATTTTAAGTTATGTGCAACAATAATATATTGCTAGACTAGGAAGTTGTATAAACTAAGAGGTTACACCATATGGCATGACAAATTTTTACTAAATAAAAGTGTAAAGTTCTAAGCCCTTCTCTCAATTATTTGGACAGAAAGGAAAGAGCACACTGTATATACAAAAAAGCTCACTGTGGCTGTCTGTATACAAAGGGCTAAAAATGGTTTAACTTCCATAGACATGCAGTCAATGTATCTAGATTTGGATACATTGGATGGGATCTGAATTGAGAAATGTATTTATACTCTCCATTATTCAATTCTCCTTAAATAAATGAAAAATGATGCATTAATGTGATGTTTATGCTGACGTGACTCTTTATCTTCTCAGAATTAAACCAAATAGTTATGGCAACCAACTCCTCCATTTCACCATCATCTGACTTATTCTATGCTTCAAATGGTGAAAAGAAAACATCCAGCTAGCTGTTAGGCTTCATGGAACTTCTAACATACAGTATATCTTTTAATTCATAAAAACCACATGCCATCTCTTTGTGTTAGAAAGAACCTTAAAACAAAAGTATAAAGCCGCAGCAGCCTGGGAAACTCCAAATGCACAGTGCAAAGCTACCGTGCCCCAAGAACCCCCAGCTGTGTACTGTAAAGCTGCAATACCCCAGAAAGTTCCAGCTGCCCCAGCAACGGAATGGGCCAACTTGCTGCAACCAACACACCACTGCCTCCTCACTGCAGGACAACTCACCACAGCTAACTCGCCACAATTGTATCTCCATGGGACAACGGAACAATTCAATTTAATTTTAAAATAAATAAAATTATTTTATTTTTTTATTATTCACATTTCATTTTGTCTTCCTTTTGCATCCTTTCTTTAATGGTTTTATGGTTATGGTTTTATGGTTTTATTATTTATAGGCCGCCCTTTTCCCTGAGGGGACTCAGGGCGGCTTACAATATATAGGGAGGGGAGTACAAGACAGTAAGACATAAGACAATACATAGTAAAAATAGTACACAACATTCATCATTCGGGTGGGGACGGATTACGATCTTTATCCCCAGGCCTNAAAAAACTAACTATTTACATCCAATGATAGTTAACAGCTTAATGAAGTATTGCGTAAAGCAGACACCAGCAATTGGTGAATAATTGACAAAATATATCGGATTTTTAAAAAAAAAATAGCAAAGGGACAACATTAGGAAACTATAGACCAATAACATGCTTATCAATGTTTAAATATGTTCTTGTTTCAAAAAAATTATTGCTTATCCAAGTAGCTTCTTCAGAGCAAACTAACAGGGAGACCCCATCTATATTGCTACTACTCCTTCAAAGTGGTTTCATTTCTCACCTAATCTCAATAGTCTTCTTAGGTAAGTAGGCAGAGAATTGTTGGGATGTAAATGTTCCAACTCCTAAATTTAGGACAGGGAAGATACACAGTTTGAGAGAGGAGTGAAGGAATCCATTTATGTCAAAGTGGAAAATCCTCCCCTCAATAGAAGAAGAGGCCATAGTTCCTCCTTGTTTATGCTGTACTTTCATCAGTATTCAGGAAATTTAAGACCATTTCACAAGTTCACCAGTTAGGCCACACTTAACAACCCACCTACAGGAAAGGATTTAGGATTTGGAACATTTACATTCCAACAACCCTCTGCCTACTACTCACCTAACAAGCCTATTCAGATTAGGTGAGAAATGAAACCATCCTGGAGGACATATATGGAATCCCCCAAACCAACTTGTTCAGACTGAAGAAGCGATTTGGATAAGCAGCAGAACATTTTGAACCAACAGAAAAATAAGTCCAGTTGCCATGACTCAATTTCCAGACAACTCTAGCTGGATAACTGGGAATCTTCATTGACAATTTTTAAATACTCACAGGCATTATAGCAGACAACAGCCAAGATTATTTAAAAGAAAATAACATCCTCCCAATACAATAAAAGGAAAAGCATCAGTACAAAAGTAAACTTCTGATTGATAAAATGGTTCTGGAAAATTGCAAAAGCTGAAAAACCATTTTACTTAAGATGGATTATGAAAATATCATTTTTTCCCCAGTGTTGCACATTCTTCCACGTTTCTAGCATTAGCAAAATATTTCTTTTTCAGTTTTATGCCAGTTACTGGTTAACAATTGACCTCTATGAACAGCCCTTTGAATTCAGGCAAGATTTGCTACTTAACGTGATACCATTAAGGATAATATTAATTAAATGATCAATTTTGATTGTGAGATTTGCAGCTAACATTTGGCATTTACATGAGAGTCTGCCACATAGACTCTATACTTTTAGCCTCATTTTATGATTTACAAATACTCAAGGCTCACAGGACAATTCTACATTTCCCTGCTACTTTATCAATTCTGCTACAATATACAATGTTGCCAATTCTCCATAGCAGCACTCAAATTATGTCAGAACATGACCAATGTCACAAAGCAGTTTTAAAACCATGTAGACCAGGGGTACCCAATCCCCAGCCCACAGACCAATAGGAACGTGGCCAAGCGAGCTAGTAAAGCTTCATCTGCCCATGTGCAGGATCTAGGTAGCAGGTGAAACCACACCTACCAGTCCATGGGGAAAAACATTCTGGTCCCTGGTGCCGAAAAGACTGGGGGACGCTGATCTAGACCATTATTATAGTGTTTTGTATTTGATTTATTGCATTATTTGTACTAGATAGATTTAATTTGTCATATTTTAGGTCTATTCATTGCTTTTATCTGTTGTTAGATTTTTTAAAGGTTTTTTAAAATATTTTTTTTAGCTTTTTAAGTAATTTCATTTTTTGCACTTTGTATTTTATAATTTTTTAAATTCCTTATACTTCACCCTCTTATGCTGGTCTTTGACTATAGTAAAGGTCAAAGACTACCATAATGAGGTGAGTTACAAGGAATAATAAAGGTTTATTTGATTTGGGTATATATTTTAAACAAATGATAAAATACATCATTGGTAATATAATTCCCATTCATATCACTTACCTATTAGTCCTTTGTCAAGAGTGAAGGTTTTATTGGTGAACATGCATTCAAAAGCCACAATATGGAAAACTTTGTTTACTGTGTTGTGTGTTCCAACTATTCTGATATACCTGTAAGTAAGAACAAAATGAAACAATAATCAACAGAATGAAATATGCAACATAACATGAATCTTTATTAATACTGAAAGGATCAGTTTAGTTTATTTCTGTACTGAGAGACTGAAGTACCAAGAGAATTGAAAAAAAAAAACAGGCTTGTAGTAAGTGCATAAATAAATATTCCAGCTACATGAGAAATATCCCCTCCTTTCCAACCCATACCCTCATCCCATCTAGTAAGGAGTATGATATCAGCACTTGGCAAAAACCAATTAGTACTGTGGAAGCAACAACACCACAACAAACATTTTAGGGAAAACCTTAATAAAAATGAGTCAAAACTTACAATATTGAAGAAAGAAAACAATTATATTAGAGAAGCAATCTTTTCTTTAATGCTTTAATAAAGAAAAAAGGAGAATATCATAAATCCTTGACCATTATGACCACCATATAAAATAACAGTTCAATCTTACATTAAATCGACAACCAATTCATAAAAATATAGCAAATCTTTATTCAAGACCGCAAACCTGGTATTATGATAATTAAGGAGTTTTTTCTGGAATAGCAATATTTTTGTTACTCCATTGTTTAATAAATTCATCAATTATTTATATGTTGATAATTTCCAAGTTTCATGTATATTTAAAAATATATTCACATCTTTGTATCTCCTGATCGGTGTAATGTCATATTGATTCACTGATTTACATTTAGAACATTAAAAATATTGTCATGCACTCAATTTTAAACAGTTTCTAGGGTAACAGTAAACATGCAAAAAAATATTTTCATGAATTAGTCTTAACAGTTAAGATTCCTTAATGATTTTTTCATATGGCAAATTCCAACTCATTGTATCTACTTGATCATATAATATTTTAATTGTCCCCAGAATGGCTTTTTGACCTGAGCACTTGTCTTCTAAAGAGAAACTAAACGTAAAACATGTGATCTGCAAAAGCTGAAAGTCATGAAAATTAACATCCCATTATAAATATGATAGTCATAATATAGGTAACTAAAATCTAGGTTTTGAGCTAGATTAATAGTTTTTAATATATAAGCCAATACCACTGTCAACATTTCTGTGTCAAAATTTAAGAAGGAAATCAAATGAAAGAATGTACAGTTAGCAGCATATTTACCTGATTTCAAAATCAGTTTTATAGTACTGAGTGGAGGAGGCATTATTATAGTCCTCTACAGTATTTGGGCAAAGAATACCAACTATCTATCCATAAGCTTTCCTTTTTATATTTACATGTAGTAATATCTTACTTCTTGAAGATGTAAAGTTGCAAATAAACAAGCAGTTGGTAGTTTTTAGTTTAGCTACAGGTTCCTCACACTATATACGTATATGCACACATACAACCTTCCATGAATAATGCTGTACAATGTTCTTGCTCAGTGGTATAAATAATATTTACAACTAAATGATTTCTTTAAAAAACAGAGCCATGTCATTTCATCCTGAAGATTTTTGTTTACCTACATTCAAATATATGTCTTATCTCTTGCAAATTGTTATTGGAGTTTTCAAGCTGAGTAATTGCTTTTTATGAATAAAATGCTAGGCTTTTCAGCTCAGCCTATTGTTCTGCAATATCAAAATTCTGACTTTGATATTTGATATTTTATCTGCATAAAATGAACATTCTACAACTTAGTATATTGTAGGAATGACCTTTTAAAAAGTGAAAGGGTTGGTTTGATGTTCTTTTTCTTCTAGATTGACCAAAACTATTAGATTCTCTATTATCAATCAGATGGGGGAGAGTTATTTTTTCTGCCTTCTTGATTTCAGGCCTCTGATAAATCAAATGTAAACCCATGCAGGTAGATAATTTAGATTAAAAAAAACAACTCTCGTTAACAATGAGACAAGATAAAAGAGACTGCTGCTTACCACAGGAATTAGGTAAAACAATTCAGTATATCATCACACCAATCAGCACTAGGAAAAGAAACTAACTCTATATGATATGCAATATTGGATTATTTATAATACTCTTTATCGAAGAGCAGAATATTATAGAATTGAAGAGCAGAATATTATAGAATTTGAAGAGCAGAATATTATAGAATTTCATTTTTTTTAAAAAAGCTATAATGATGCTTTAACCAGCTAGAGGAGTTATCAAACATTATGCCATAGAACATTTCTGTGCCATGAAAAGGCTATGGCTGTGGCAAATCAGCAAGCCAAAGCAAATGACAGGAAGTGAACCACAGCCCTTGAAATGTATCCTGTGGCATGAAAAATGTTGAAACCATGATCAAGAGAAGAAATAAGGATTAAACTGCCAAAAAATATAGGCTGGCGGAAATAGTGAATGGATTGAGAAGAACAACAAGACTAAGAAATTTGTGGTGGGGTGGAGAGAGGTGAGAAGTTTAAAGAAGAAAAGGCAATGTATGGAGCAGTTTATGGACCCAATGGAAACAAGGATGGTTTGTAAGGAAAAAGAGAAATACAATATATTTTGTTGGCATAAATTCTGTTTCTTTATTTATCTTCATCTTTCACCTTTAGTTTCTTTGTCTGTATATTGTTGGTTATTACAACAAGTACAGAGTGATAGGCATATATGCATGTTCTACTTTATAATATCCCATGTTATATCTAAAAACTTTAAAGATGTACTCGTAAGAGAAAAATAAACTGGCAAGATGCAGAGGTTTTTTTAAAGATAAAACCTTAATTTATTCTTGTTCTTGTTACCTTTAAAAAAAAAGATTGAATTTTATAAACAAAAAAACAAGTAGAGAAAAGGCAATTTAACCCAACCCCTTTAATATGCCCATTATACACACTCGTATCAAACAACAAAATGATACATGCTTCCATTTTTCATTGTAGACACAAAGAAATGTTATTATTCACCACTTTTTCATCATAATGAAAGGTTTCATAAATCAAAGACAAAGACAATAAATCAATCCTCCTCACCTAAAGAATAAACCTTTCTCTTTTTAACTGCCTCTATTCTCATTCCATACTATAAATATTCTCCCTCTTTTTCTCCTCCCTTCTATATACACAGACACACACTGTATTTTGTGTATGTTTAAAAGTTTTACTTTCCAAGAAGCTGTTTTTTAAATTTCCAACTGCAGCTCTCTCTGTCATAGTTGTGATGAAGGATTACAAATATTTAGCACGTTTTTAGCTATGTGAGATCCTACAAAAGGCCCAAAATGTGTGCAAAACTCTATTATTTGTTGCTAAACCTTTGGATTTTGTTACTTAAACTTAACTCCTGGATACCACTGCAAACCTAGATGGAGTTCTTGAAAATAATGTCCAATTCTTTTATGTATGTATGTATGTATGTATGTATGTATGTATGTATGTATGTATGTATGTATGTATTTATTTATTCATTTATTTCATTCAATTTATATGCTCATCCATCTCAACAAGTGTTTGAGTGGCAAATAGAATGAATATAAAATGAAAATGATTAGAAGCATTGAAAAAATTAAAATATACTGTAAATAAATAAAAATGGAAAGGAAACATTCTAACCCAAATTACTAATGCAACTCAGAAGCAGGTCTCTGTACAGATTAGGGGGCTTGGGGAATGAATAACTTATGCAATTTACATGTGCTGCTGAATTCTGCACCTTGAAGTTTTCAAATGCTGTTCAAGAGTAGCCCTTTGTGAAGCATATTGCAGAAATCAAGACAGGAAGTCTCTTTTGCCCCCTTGAACTTTCAACAAGCATTAACCTTAAATCAATATGTTCCTCTTGTTCTTAATGGGAGAATGAGTCCAGATATTAATTAAATTACATTACTAATAAATGTTCAGAAAAATCCCAAGCATATATAATATCTCAGTGGAATAAAAAAAATCTCAAAATTATTAGAATATAATTTCCTATTACCCAAAGTGAAAAATGCATGTTATTAAATTAACAGCTATCTACATAAAAGAAATTACATTTTAAGAATACAATTAGGATTTTGCTGCATATTCTTTGAAGATGATATAATTTAACTTCAGGGCCATTTGCCATACTATTAATGTTGAAAAGCTTAGGTTAAGAATAGATTTTTGAAAAGAGGTTCTTTAAACTAGATTTTCATTAATATTTTTAATGCTTAGATTTCTATGAATATTTGGGATTTTTTTTCTAATACAGGTTTACCACATTTTTTTTCAATGGTTGTGCTTCAATGGGATTCTTCCTTTATTTAAATAATACTGTGATTTTCTTCCATTCCTTTTTCTTTTGTTCCTTCTGTTCAACACCAAACTATAAGTACTTCATTAACTATCCTTTCTTTTAAAATGAATCTTTTTCTCTCTTAAAATTATTCCTTTTTTTTCTAGAAACTACAAAAATTATATGGAATAGCTGTAGTAGTTATATATCTTTAATTGCAAAGTTATTTTTGTGAACCAACATTTTGAAGCTCCATAGTTTCTATATTCAGAGAAAATTGAAACTTGGTCAATATCATCCCAAATATTGGAATCAAATTATATTTTAAGAAATTGGTAGTATAAAGTATGCCTAAGCACAAATAATGACAATTGGATATACAATCTCAACTTGGCAAAAATGCATGCTTTCACACATATTACTGTTCTTTACATTGAGATTTTTAGATAGCATTTTCAAATGCATTCTGATATTCCAAACCAAAAAAAGATACTGCAGACCAACAATTTACATCCATGTTTGGGGAATATTGCACGGAGAGAAAATGTGTGCATATAGTTTATTATCTCCAAGGACCACCCGAACAACTTAAACAGATGGAAGATAATTAAACCTTAAACACAGTTGGAGATGGCAGATATTAAACAAACTGCCTATCTTTGATGAGAATCAAAGGTTCAGTAAGAATATTAATACATCTGTTGTAAATAGGATAAACATAGATATTATTTAACTCCAGATAAATATAATAACAATTAAAATGCTCAACATTTCCTAATTTTTTAAACTACATCTAATATTCACCAAATGAACCTACCCCAGCAG